TCCGGAATTCCTGAAGTGAATGTATTCTAAGTGGGTAAGTAGCTGACCTGATGCTATGTTTGATTGATCATCCAACTCAGAAAAAGCTGACCAATTACCTCTTACTTATCCCAGATTTGTCATTCGAGGTTATCTTGGATTATCGACCATGTTAACAAAAGCGGTGGGTCTGGCACTCTCAGTTGGATCTGGATTGACGCTTGGTAAAGAGGGTCCATTGGTGCACATTGCGTGTTGCATCGGCAACATCTTCACGAGATTGTTCCCAAAATTCGATCGCAATGAAGGGAAGAGGAGGGAAATGCTCAGTGCTGCCTGTGCTGCAGGTGTTGCGGTTGCGTTTGGGGCTCCAATTGGTGGGGTCTTGTTTAGCTTGGAAGAGGTTTCTTACTTTTTCCCCCCTAGGGTCATGTGGAGAAGTTGTTGGTGCGCTATTGTTGGGGCAGCTACTCTTCGGGTATATTGATTTGAATTGATCTTCTCGGAGACATCGAAGTTTTCGGGCCTAAGGTTGACCCACGCTTATTAACTTGTTTTTTTAGGTACTAGACCCTTTCAAGACTGGTAAAACGGTCCTCTTCGAAGTGACATACGATCAGCAGTGGCATTTTATAGAACTCAGTGGATTCATCTTGTTGGGCTTGGTCTCTGGGGTTTTGGGGGCTTGGCTTTCAAAGCTTAATGTGTGGTGGACGAAGACATTCAGAAAACTTCCTTGCATCGACCGACATCCGGTCTTAGAAGTTTTACTCGTGGCATTTGTCACCTGTCTACTGGCGTACGTTGTTGCCTGTCTCTCAAATATCACTTGTTATGAATCCCATCAGCTTATTCCAAGCTCTGGGCTCCGTTAGTTTCTCGAACCGTTTCATGAAATTAGCCGGGACCGAACTTGTGTATGAGATGCTAGCGGAGTGTCCAATAATCGACCCATCAGACCCAACAGGCAGTTCAATTTCCGGGGCGTGCATTAGCGATCCCAAAGATACCGCACAGCTAATCCTCAACATTGGCATAGCTGTTGTCCTCAAGTTTTTGATCACGGTTGTCACCTTCGGGATCAAATGTCCTGCCGGACTGTTTGTACCCTCGCTCTGTATTGGTGCAATGATGGGTAGGATACTGGGTTACTTGGTCGAGTATGCTTATCATTCACATCCTGAACTCTCAGTCTTCCAAATCTGTGATCCTAGCCGCCCCTTCGGTCAAGCTTGCATCATACCCGGGGTTTGGGCTATGGTTGGCGCGGCTGCAATGTTGGCTGGCGTGACCCGGACTACCTTATCCTTGGCCGTCATAAGTACGCGGGCCACTCTAATCATACTCATCTTGATGTCAGTCCATACTGAAGTGTTTATAATCTTTTTTTGTAGTGGTAGAACTTACCGGATCCTTGGTCTATATACTTCCTATATCGATGAGTGTACTTGTGGCGAAGACTCTGGCAGATACCATTGAACATAGATCTATATAGTACGCTGAGCACCACCATTTCCTCATTTTTCATCAGTGCCCCTGATCGCTAACTTTTGACTGTTCACCGCAGTGACCTTTGCATGAATCTATCTGAGCTTCCTTATCTTGATGCGAAGTCGGAATACTTACATTACGCGAAACCTGAAGACATTATGGATCGAAATGCGGAAGTGATCATATTGAATGGAGAGTTAAGAGCTTCAGATCTGAGGCAAAGCATCAAGAATATGTTGGAAGCACCACAGCTTGGGAGTGGCTTTCCACTGCTCGAGACATCAGAGAACGGGGACACGCGGATCTCGGGTTATGTAGGTCTGGTGGAACTTGAGCATTGTCTGTCGACGATCGAAGGCGACCCGATTTGCACCTTCGACGGGGCAGACCCTGATGTCGCTCCCAACGGCGGCCTGTCACCCAACTACGAGCTCCCCGTCGATTTCGGCTACCTCGTCGATCATGCCCCAGTCACGGTGTCGGTCCAGACTCCAATGGAACTCATCCACGAGATTTTTGTACGCTTAGGCGTAAGTACCTTCTCTTTCCCTCCCGCTCCTTTCCTGCTACCCTCTGAAAAGTATGTCCAAGTCAGACTGAAACCTCTTGGAAATGTGATTGCATTTAGGTCCGTTATCTCGTCGTCCAGAATCACAATGGGCTATATCTTGGGATCATTGAAAAGAACCGGTAAGTGGTCGTGATCTTCTCTCTTTCAAATCCTCTGGATCCAATCGTCTTGATCAATTTCCCAAACTGACATTATCTATATGTACACCCCCTCCAATTAACCCACCGGATTCCAGCTGGCTGAGATACTTAAGCTGGAATGAGCAACATGATTCTAAGCACAAAACCGATTAAAAAACCATCACCCACAACATGGCTTTTTACATCTTTGACCCTTTCGTTTCAATCATTATCCATTTTTCTTTCCAGTCATCACACCACCATCCCCACTCCAAATGGAAAGGAAGATGCTCACTTCGAGGCATTGATCATGGGCAGCAATTCTTGTTTAAGTCTATCGTCCTTATTGTTCACCTAGCATTTCATTTTCCACTCATCTCTTTTTACATTTTCATTTGTTGTAGATATATATATATATTCATCTTCTCATCATCCTCCATACTTGTTAAGTTTTTTCTAGTTTTGTATATATATATAGTACAAACCTTGCCCGGAATAACATTTTCAAAACAATCTGGTACATATCAACATCTGGTGTCCATTTGCCCGTGAAGGGAGATACAGTACATTGTCTAGGTAAGTACTTGGTGCAGGTACTTGCCCAGCACTACTCTTCTTAAAAGCGGTCCAAAAGGGCTGCACGCAACCCATGAATGGAGTTGTTCCTCTAACCAACTTGCGTCTGCTTGGGATTCACACATGTACGTGAGGGTGCTTATTCACGCATGTATGTGAGGATGCTTTGTTCATCCATGTTTCCCGGATCATGTATTGCCGAAATTTGGATGGTCTTCCCTTGCCATCTACCATGTAGTTAAGGGACCTGTTACAATTGCATTTGGAAACGGAGCTTCGGCAGGTTCCGAACTTCCGGAATCCGATGGGCGCTTCCCGGTCGAACAAACATCTCCGACGACTTTATTTACAACTTTGATTTCTGTGCTAAGCAGTGCTGATCATACATGGCTTGATGGCTGCTGTACTACTTTCAACAGGGCGTGCCGATTTTTCGATGGAGATTTGACCGATACCTCCGTGCCGCCTACATACCCAACTCGGGACTCGGCACCGTTATCGCCGGGCTGTCCATACAGAGCCTTTCAGCTGTGACTGGATGGACGTGTCACGCGCTGGTCGAGCTGAATTCGGCCTGGGCGGAGTGGGGAACGCGCCCGCGTTCAGCCTCAGGCATTTGTCACCGTGTGTACCGTTCTTTAGCGTTCTTTGCTACGCCATCAGACGCCATCGCCATGTGTGTAAACAAGATGGCTGGCGGTGAAAATGGGGCTTACGCCTGTTCTTCTCAGTGGATCACGCCGGAAATCGTGGAGTTGAGTGAGATCGAATGAGAGCCACAATAGATGCCATTCAGGGTATAAAGTGAGAACGGTGTTGCCACCCCATCTCACCCCCACCAGCTATACCATCTCAAACAGCATTCCCGCACCCCAATATCAATCAATCATGTTCTCCGCAAAGCAGCTTATCACCGCCTTGACCTTAGCTTTGCTATCGGTCCACCTGGTGGAATCCATGAAATCGCAATGCGGTCAATGGGCTATGCAGAAGTTGAGCTCATCAAGCGACTCCGACAAGGTAGTCGTCGCCAAATTGGTGGGTGGTAGTTTCACCACATTCTGAGCTCAAGCCTTTCCATACTCGGATAATCCTTTGAAGGCTGACGTTCGTCTAATAATGACATCTAAACAATACAGATGTCCGCCAAGAATGAAAGAGCATTTTTGCAACGCCGCAACGACCCCCCTGGACACAAGGTATTTCATGGAACCATTAATGATTGTAAACAAGATCCACTGGAAACTGATGCACTCGCGTTGTTGTTCAATGTCCTTCAGGGAAAAACTGTTTCAGGTGGTTCAACATCAGTAAGCGCATAGATACTCGACTTGTTGATATGTTTTCATACATCCACCCGGGCAGTAAACTTATCCCGGTTTTTTTTTTTTCTCTTCCCCAGGCCTGTGGCGGTAAGGCTTATAGTGACAACCAGCAAGGTTCGTGTCTCTGGAATGGAGCAAACCAAGACAGTAGCCCAAGACAAGGCCTTTACCGAGGTTGGCTCAACGGGTAAGCACCGTCTGAATTGCAAACGATCACCATTGGAAATCATACTGATCTGTATTTCTGTGGTCCTACAGTGCAAACACAAACAACTGCTTTAAAACCCTGTAAGTAATTCTTCGGGATGATTTGTATGCTCGTATGCTGGTCAAGCACATAGTAAGACTTACTTAGAATTCAATCCTCCCCTCCAGCTGGATAAATGGTGCCGGTCCCCTCCCGAAATACGTCCCTGTTCTCGATGGCTGCCCGTTTGAGGATTACAACATTAAGCCCGAAGTGGGATGTGCGACGATCTGGGTGACCAAGGCTGTGAGTAGCCATGGCTTCGCAGAGTCGAACACGACCGCACGAAGCGGATGATTCCGTTGTCACTAACCTTCCAAATCACCGTACTTGCTTGTTCCTCTCCCTCAGACATTGAAGGCACTCGGCGGGAAAGATGGAGACACTGAGGTGCCCATCAAGAACTGGGGCTTGTAAGTTCAAAGACATTCTAGATTCTGTGCAAATCTATCCGTCGAAGCTGACCCTTTGATCACCAACAGTTCTGCCGACACTCCAGCCGAATGAAGATACCATCGCTCGGTCCATTCGTTTCTTCGAAACGTTTTGCTAGGATTTTCGGACGCTCCAACCATTCGGTTGATCTTTTCAAGATAAAGAACCCATATCATTTTCCTTTTTCTACATCTTCTTATCTATCAGTGGGTTGTTATACTTCTAACTTATATGGATTTTGAGTTAATAATACAACAAATCCCTATGATATATCACGATCTTATCTTGATGAGACATTTCTGATTGCGCACAAATTGTACACCTGAGAGCTCCCACCACTGGCACAGCTCAGAGTTTTTTTTTTTTTTGAGATCAGTCCTAAGATGAAAAAGCGTCTCAAATCGTGGACATAGTTCTGCTGTATCCGTTTGACGCCTTAAGACAAAGAGAGAAACCCGAAGAAGCAACTCAGCTCGTTTCGTATTATGACACTGGGGATCGTGTTATATACCACATGAGAGATAAATTTCTTGTGCCCGTTTGACGCCCTAAGATAAAGAGAGAAAGAGATCCAACAAAGAGCCTCAGCGTGATCGTACATAGACAAGTTGGATAAAGCCATACTACTGCTTGTGCTTTTCTTAGTGGAACAGACATGAGCGTTCTTAAACCTCGTCTGTGTTGGGTCATTAGCTGGAGCACTTGAGCTGGCAAGTTAAATGTAACACATGAACCAAATCACATCCATTGCGTCGAGAATAAACCCTTGAGATTCATCTCCCGTTAATGACCGGATCAAGCGTTCTTCTTCTGCACCTCACGCCTATCCTGTTATTCTGTTGCTCACGTAGCTGGGTTTGACAGCAAGCAATAACCTTGAAATAGATTCTGCTTGATTGGCCAATGTCTCAAGGTTAATATCAGGCATTAGAGACAAGAAGAAATGAATGATAGTAAAAAGATCCTTCAAAAATCAAAATAGATTTTTTTTTGAAAAAAAAGAGGAAGAAGGGTATTTATGCATGACCTACTCCTCAATGAACCAGGAGGTGAGAAACAAAGGAACTATTTCCATCATTATTCTATTGATGATTAAGACGAAGTAACATTTCCACAATGGAGAGGTAAAAGCTAGAAAACGAAAGAATGATTTCAGATCGTATATTTCGACGTTATTTTTTGGATTCGACCGGCTCAGTCGTCTCAGTTTCAGGCTTAGATTTCCAATGATCTTTTGCCCAAGTAGCGGCGACGATGAGAGGAAAGACCAGAGTAGCATCCGCAAATACCTTGAACATTGACCCAAAGAAAAGGCAATCATAATGGATGTCAGTTCAGTTCAGTTCCAATCATTCGAAACAAACAAAAGGGGAGACAGTGGAAATCGGTTGGTTACTTTGACCGATTCCGAATCGCCTTTGATTTTTCCCCAGCTGATCGCTTCGTCCGGTCTGGCTCCACTGTCTGACCCATCAAACTCTTGGCCCGTATTGACATATACAGAGTATTCCGCCCCGTTTCTCTATAGGAAGATATATCATAACAAACAAAAAGAACGGTGCTCAATGGATGAAGATGCGAATCGGTCTCTATGGTTGAGCCGAAAGACTGACATATAACATCGCATTCGCAATCTGATGTTTACAGACCCCTCCACCCAGGATGACCATCCCGGCCTTCTTGGCCGACCGACCGAGCTCGTTGATCCTTCGAATATCCGCGACGATGTCGATAACTAATGGATTAGGGTCGGTCTTGATAGAGTGAAAACATAACATATCTCCTAAAGCTTTCCTTAGAAGAAGAAGAAGGATTGAATAGGAATACTCTCAAAGTAAGAGACAAACGGTTGGTGAAGGGAGTTGGGGACTGACAACCATCGGTCAGGGCAGGACAAAAGACCGGGATCTTGTTCTTGGCAGCCCAATAGAGGAAAGAGTCGGGATGATTGATCTCGTGGCCTAATCGTTCGACGACC